TGTGTGTGTGTGTGTGTGTGTGTGTGTGTGTGTGTGTGTGTGTGTGTGTAAGGATGCTCACCTCTGTGTAAGAGAAACAAACAAAAGGACAATGAAATCACGGTCTCCCGTGCGGGGCGGAGGGGCTGTAGCAGACGGGTGGGAAGGCACAACCAGCCCCCAGGGCCCCTCGCTTTTTGGAGAATCCAGCCCTGGCTCCAACCCAGACCTAGAAGGTCCGAATTTCCAGGAAAGAGGTCCAGTCAAGCCCTATGGGTACCTGCCCCTGCCTCCCTTCCCCATGCTCCACCCCCCCACCCCCCCCTGCATCACTGGGAAGTGGACAGAAGGCTGGTTTGATTGGAAGAAGGAATGTAAGGCTGAGCTTCAAGTGACTTGCCCAGGGTGGGTGATGAGGGAGACTCGCTGGCTGGGAGCCCATGGGGAAGTTGCCTAGGGGTGGGTTACTCACGTGTCAATGGCTTGCTGGAATTTCCCGACTCTGGCAAAAACCCTACCAATGTTGTCCAGGGCCCTGGATTTGGCATCAGGAAGATCACTGTGGGGAAGCAGCACATTAGGGTTCCCACTAGGAAGCAACTGCCCCAGAACCATGGGGAGGGGACAGGGGAGGAGACCAGGGCACAGGCTGTGGGGCCAGGTGGAGGGATGGTTGCTCATGCCCTGGGGGTGGGCATGGGAATTACGAGGGACCTTCCCAGAAGCAGGAGCTCTGGTGGTGATCAAAAAAGCCCCTGGGGGCGCCAGCAGATAAGTGTTGGCTGCTAACCACAAGGCTGGCAGTTCAAGTCTATCAGCCACTCTGTGGGAGACCACTGAGGCTGTCTGCTCCCACAAAGAGCGCCCCAGGAACCGATACAGGGTCGCTATGCCTCAGGACCGACGCCATGGTAGTGGGTTTCCAGCTTTCTATAGGGGATCAAAGAGACAACAGGAACTGGAATGAGAAGGCCGGCCTGTCCTCTGCCACCGATCCCTCCCTCAAAGACCCGAACAGAGGTGTTGTGGCTGTTCCAATGGCCAAGCGGGAGCAGCCGCAGAGTCCGCATGAACAGTGGGGAGATACTTCTGGGCGCAGCTATTCAAAGAACTAGGCCCGTTCAAGGCATATTCTGTTTGTCAAAATGAACAAAAGTAAAAGGAATTGCCTCTTTTTAAAACCCGATGCCTGTGGACCCATGGCCATTGAGTTGGTGCCACCTTGGCGTCACCTGCACACATAGGCATCCGTGCCTGTGCTAGGGGGCTTCCCAAGGTCATGGGGAAAACTCCTTTAGTCACGAAAGACTACTTCCACAAACTTCCTGAAGCCCGTGTGTGCATGTGTATAGGTGGGTGTGTTACGTATAGGTGTGTGTGTGTGGTATGCATGCTAAAAAGGGGCAGATGAGTATATCTAACAGTGGCCTCAGGAAGTGAGGGAGTGGCCTGTGGGGCAGGGGGGTAAGGCTCTGAGCACCATACCTCTACTCCTGTGCACCACCGAGAACTTGGGTCAAATAAACACCATTAGCATCTGCACCACAGCACGATGTGTACCCCACCCCCTCCCCATCATGCCTCTCTGCTAAGGGTCCCCTCTGCCCAGCAGGCTAAAGCCCCTGTTCTCTCGAAAGTCCCTAGATCTCAGCAGGGCTCCCCTCTGCCTCTCTCCTAGGACCCTCAGCCACACTTGGCAGCCTCCCACCCCCACTCCCACCCTTGCCCGCGCGCGTGCGCGCGCGCACACACACACACACACACACACACACACACACACACACACACTACAAAGTGGATGCTCAGATGGGGTGTGATGAACCAAGGGGGCAGATTAACCTGTACCCAGTTTACAGTACGTGGTAGGAATCCCTAACAGTCACAAGCACGCACGCACGCAAATCATGGACAGGGAGTTCAGAGAAATGACGGGTGGGGTGGGGTGGAGTGTGTGTGTGTGTGGATGGGTGGGGGGCTTGAAGAAGGCGACTTCCACACATTGGGATTTGAGCTGTGCCCTGAAGGCTTTGTGGTGGGTGGGGTGGCCAGCCCTGTCAGGCCAGGTGCGAGGCTGGACACAGAAGAGTGTGGCGTGAGGAGGCTGCAGGGCCCAGCAGACTGGTGCTAGGTTGGAACGATAGCGTGATGCCAGCCTGACTGTTAGAGAGGCACCTCCTGTGGATGTATACTGCACTTAGCAAGTCCCCTGCCACCCCCAACCCGTTCATCATGTGGCCCTTCCCGACCAGAGATAGCAGACCAGGGGGGACAGTGGCCCGGTTCTGTAGGAGGCTGTGGAGACAGGGCCCAGGGACTTCACTGCTGCATCCCCCTGCGGGGGGCAGGGAAGGCCTTGCGAAGGGCAGCGCAGTAAAGGCACTGCCTGGTGGGGACCGGCAGCAGCAGTGGCAGAGCCCTGAGGCCAGTCATGACACTTAGCTCTGGACTTGAGGGTCGAGGCACCCAGGGGCCCTCAGGAAAGCTGGGCCAGGAGAGGCCCAGAAGTCCGTCAGGAAGGGCAGCCTGGCTGAGCAGACTGGGCTTTACAAATGTCCACTGGATCTGTCGCTCCAGAAGGGCTGCAGGGGACCCAGATCCCAGTGACAGGCTCAAAGAGGAGGAAGAGGGTCTGACTGAGGAGGGACTGGCCAGGGGGTGGGGGTGGGGTGAGGAGAGGTCTGAGAAGCCTAGTTTGGGGGCAGTGTCACCCCAGGATGGGGAAACCCCAGAGCAAGAGTTGTGGGAGAGAGAAGAGATACTATGCTTGGAGGTGGGAATTTAGAGTATACCTGTGGGGTATCTAGGGAGGAACCCTGCTGGTGTAATGGTTACACATTGGGCTGCTAACCGCAAGGTCAGTGGTTCGAAACCACCAGCCCCTCTTGGGGAGAGAGACAGGGTTTTTCTACTCCCAAAAAGAATTACAGTCTTGGAAACCCACCAGGGCAGTTCCAGCCTGTCCTGTGGGGCCACTGTGAGTTGGCGTGGCCTTGAAGGCAGTGAGCTTGGCGGTCCACTGAGTGGACAGGCCGCGTATCTCATTTAATCCTCACAGTCACGTGGGCTGGTGTCCTGAAGGACACTCATGTGAGCCCAGTGCAGTGACTTACTTGACCTGAGGCTCCCCTGGCCCTGGCCTTTGTCCTGATGACAGGGTGGGGCTATACACAGTGAAGCCCAATCAGGGGATAGCGAGCTCATGAACATTGTAAACGAGATGCACGGCCCCACGCAGCGAAGGCACTGGGAGGCCCCACGGAGAGGACTGGTTCCATTTGCTAGCAGAGAGGCAGACAGGGAAATCCTGACCATCAAGACGAAGAGGCAGGGGCAGAGCACATGCTTTGGATCTGAGGCCCACAAGCTGGGGACCCTTTAGACCCAGGAGAGGTCGGAAGGTGGTGGCACTGGAGATGGCAAGAGTCGGGGAGAAGCAGTGGCAGAGAAATGGTGGCAGCATGGGCTTCCTGGCCCCACAGGAAACTTGCTGGCAGTGTGGGGTGCCTCTGGCCATTGATTGGCAGAGCTGAAAAGTTTTGTAACACCTGCAGGACAGAGATGGAGAGGCCAAGGGCCAGAGAGAGGCATGCCTATGAGGAAGGCTGAGAAGAATCCGTCCAGACAGAAGAACTGTGTCCTGAGTCGTTACGGATCCTGAATTTGTAAGCTGCTACTTCCCTGACACACTTCCTCACTAAGTGTCCAGTCTGAGTGTTCTATAGACAGACCCGCCCAGCAGAGAGGAAGCGCATGCCATGGGAGGAATGGAGGAGTCTGGGAAAACGGGCAGGTATAACTGACTTCCACCTCAGAAGACTCAGCCTTGGGTACTGGGTGGATGCTAAAATGACGAAGCCAGAGGCCAGCCATCTCTGCCTTCATCAACGGCATCAAGCCCGCGGCTGGGAAGCATAAGCCAGAAATCAGCGATGGGTCTATCTCCCTCTTGGATGGCCAGCCGGCCATACCCTCCGGTGGGAAGGAGCAGGACATGGGCAAGTGGCAGGGGAGGGCAAGAGGCAGGGGTGTGCAGGAAACGCAGGTGGATCCCACTGAGAACTCAAAGGGGCAGCCGGGCAGATGGGGTTCCAGAAGGCTTTGCGGGCCAGAAGAGGAGGTGGCTTTGCTCCTGCGGGCAGAGGGGCTGGGCCCTTGTCAGCAGGGCGTGTGGGGCAGCGAGAGCAGCAGGGCTGGGCTGTGGCAAGCCACCAAACAGCTGGCTTCCACGGTGACCCGTGGAGACCCCACGTCAGCCAGAGCTCACGGCGGACTTTCCAGGAGGTTGCCAGGCCTTCCTTCCAAGGCCCCATGGAGTGTACACACACACACACACACACAC